TAACTAACAGGTGATCTTGACACAGTTTTTGTGAGTATATGATTCACAACCGAATGCCCGGATCCGAACCCACGACCACTAGATAGGTAGTATGTATTTCAAACCATTAAGCCGTGTTAATTTATCTGTACTACTTCATTTATTAAAGCCCCCTTTTATCCTTATTTAATTGTTTTATTAAAAAAAGCAGGGTAATTTTTTTATTTCTCACATTCCATGATGTCGGACAGTCAGTTATAGTTTTGTAGATGTTAATGAATATGTCCCTTTCATTAGAGAACCCTCTGCATGTTCTGTTTGTCGAATCACGATCGATTACCCGAATGATAAAAGAGTAATGTTTTCCCTTATTAGCGTATACATCCTGGGTCCGTTTCTACTCGGCGTACCCGCGCGAGGTCCGCGTGTGGCTGGACGCTCGCCAGCTGCACCTGGGACACGCGGCGAAGGCGTTCGCGCTGCGCGAGACCCCCGCCGCCTTGGCGAGGAGAGCCAAGTCAGACCCCAAATTTAAAAAGGACAAACCGGTCAATCGGTTGACAGTGCACGAAGACGAAGAAAAGAAACGACCAGGGTGAGTTGTACACTTTATAGATGCTGTATTTTAATATGTCAATATTTTTTTTTATATACTAGCACTTGCTCGCGACATGGCCCGCGTGAAATAAAAACATAATAAAATATATTGCCTATGTTACTCACTGATAACGTAGCTTTTTAATGGTGAAATAATTTTTAAAATCGGCCCAGTAGTTTTTTAGTTATTTCAATACATACAAATATGTTTACATCGCGATTGATTTGTCGTCTTTGTACCACACAAACAATTTGATCCTTTTCGAGTTTTTAGGTTGGTTTACACAAAATTATAGTTTGAACGATACATTACTTCATAAGATGAAATGCAACAGTTTTTAACATATATTTCTTTGTATAGGTTCCCTAAGGTGAAGGCTGGCCTTAAGATATTTAGCAATAAGGTTGTCAACAAGCAGAGCTCTATGCACACGGCTTGCGAGTTTGACAACGGCCTGCCTCCTATTGACACTTACAACTTTAAGAAAAAAAATAAAAATAAGCGAAATTAAATTGTTTAAGATACAACGTTATATAAAAATGTTTATTAAATGTCTACATAAATGTTTCTACAGGAATTTGTTTGTTTTATTTGAAACCTTAATAAGAGCAAGTTTTTGATCTATGTTACTACTAGGCATAGAGTAAAAAATAAGCGGGTTAGCTAATCGAAATAAAAAATGCTACAATTCATTTAAATTGAAAGAATCTAAAGTGGTCAATAAATCTTAGTAGCACAGTTTTAAAGAAGCGTTTATATTTGAAGTAATGTTGCCGACTGTATCAATCGGTCATTAAAAAGCTACAAGTCAAGGAAGCGACGTAATGAAGTATGGAAGCGACCGCGGCCGACTCTAATCTAACTCGACTCAAGATAATGGATCGTCAGTCGGCTACCGTATTCATGTTCCCGACTCGCGACCGATTCGGATGAAAAATGATTTTAAACCATTATCGTGCCCCGTCCGGCCTTTTGATATTTAAATTTTTTTTACAAGCGGCCATCATTATGTCGGGATGATATGCGAATTTCGCCCCCGGTTCGCGGTTTTTTTACAGCAACTGAACGAGTTTTTTGTCGTTCTCATTTACGATGTTTTTATTGCTGTATAATGACAAATTAAAAGTGTATTGTAGAGCTCTTTCATGCCATAATACCCCGCCTTGCGACGATGAAGACCTTTCATACGGCGACAGTTTTGAATGATTCGATCGTGACAAGTATAATTTTAGTAAGTGTTAAGTTTTTCACAAGCGGCGTTAAAACTTGCAGCACCAAGCAAAGTGACATGTTCTGCCCCCTTAACATCAGTGATGAAAAGTTTCGTAACTTAAAAATCTCCAGACTCCAACTATAGACACATCTCTACCAAAACGTTGCAATAGACAAAGATAAAAAAAATTCTGAATGAATAAATTTAAACACATTCATAGACACGAATACTTATTAAGTATACCTAACAAGCGTAACAATGAGCTTTTGTTATTCCCAAATATGAGTACAATAACACATAAACGGCGAGTATTTGTCGAAACGATTTTTCAGTACAACTGATGGTAATGAAAAGGGCCTTTTCACGAGCTTTGGCGCCGAGTAATATGCAAATGAAAACCCTAATGATGCGCGAATTCCACACACCTACAGATATCGTATTTAAAAAACAGAAACTGAAAAATGAAGAGTATTTCCACGAATTTGTTAAGTAACTATTATAAAAATTTTTGAGTAATCTAATCAAAACTGCAATATCTCAAACACAATAACATTAATCTAAAAAAAACAGTTGAAGAAACGTATTTTTACAATTCGCACTGGATAAATAAACTCTGTAACATTTATTTCGATAATTGGCGAATGAACGCCAATACGTGATGCTATTGATTGATGTAAAAGGTAATGTATAATAGATTAAATTTACATCTACATAGTAGTTGCTTTCACGCCGGACTCTATTGTAAGAGAGTCGAGTCAATTCAGTAGTACAATGGGACTCGATCGACTTGGTGGCCCGACGCAATCGTAGGCGAGGTTACATTTTATATTTTACCTAACATTGATTGAACTCTGAGAGATAAAGATGAAGGTGTGATTATTATGAGCAATTGCTGCAGACAATTGATATTTCATTCTTTTATTTGTAAGACAATTCCATAAGTTCTAAAAGTTTACAAAGAATGCTTGTGAATTAAGATTTTTTTTAGTTAATAGACTTTAACTATTATTTCTACAAGTAATTTAAATGTATTTCCTGTATTTTTAATGTGTTAAGTGTATTCATGGTTAATGTTAATAGGTTAATGTAAAATTGGCCTCTCCGTGGCACAGTTGGTCTATGCGTTGAACGTTGGAGAGTCAAACGCGCCGCGTCATGACCCACCGAATTACAGCCACAAAGCGCCGTTGATACCGAATATTCCATATAAATATTGAGCTAATCGCCCTTTCAATGAAGCGGCCCGCTTTTTATTAATAATTGATATCGGAGCAGCCAGTCATGCGCCGTATTGTGCCGGCGAACACATTTTTTGCTCCGGCCCAACTCATTAATGAGCTCGGAGCCAGCACATGACGGTGGAGGCGTGGCCGAGGGAAACTTTGCCCAAACTAATTTTCGATGAGTTCCCATCGTGTTAAATAATGCAGAACAAATGTTTGTTTGTTTATTTGTTAGCGATTAGATTTTATCGAAACCTTTTGAGGCAAAGATTGATAATACAGTGTTATTTTTGCTAGAACTGAAGTCATCATAGTAGATATTTATAATTAGAACGTGCGCACACATTTGACTAAACTATCGCAGAAGTGTATGCGATTGCCTCGCAGACAAAACTGTTGCACGACTGAAAATCGAGTAGTGTACGCACTTCCATATAAGAACATAGCAGGCAAAGCGGGACTAAACGGTTGTGCAATAGTTTATTGAAAGTAATGAGTATGCTCTTAATGTGAACTTTTGCGTAGACTGTACACTGAAATATTGAATTAATTTGGTGTCAATCGCACCATTGTCAAAGGGCTACATGACATATCAATTACTACAGACGAAATAAGAGATTGTTCGTCGTCACTTTCTTTGTAATCGCTGCGTCGGTTCCGTTTAGCCCACTTATCTAATTAAACATTCTCATACATTTCGTACAACAATAACTCTTAATTTTTAAGTGTTATGAGTGCAGCGCTTACACGCAGTTAGGTTAACAGTATAACAGCATGAGAAATCGGCTAAAAGTATACGGTTACCTCACTTTTGACAATTATACGGACAAAATTGAATTAAAGTTTTATTGTAAAATAATAAACAGCATACCGGAATAAGTAATCTTACTAATATTATTAACGCGAAAGTTTGGATGGAGGGATGGATGTTTGTAGCCTAAACGGCTGACCTGATATTGATGAAATTTACCAGAGATATAGAGGATAGTCTGGAATAACACAAAGGCTATTTTTCTTTGTGTTTTACAAGTCCACGCAGACGGATTCGCTGGCGAAAGCTAATATTTGTGTATGAAAAACAAAACCAAGGTCATACTTCATCAGTTTTGATAAGTCTCTAATACTACATAGCCTTATGGTAAAACAACCTTTTGTTACAGAATTGATTTATTTATGTGCCCTCTCCATTACTTTCCTTTCCATACTCAATTTCAATAATAAAAATTAAAATATTGGTTTTGTTTTTCCACGTATCAATCAAATATTAAAACTGAGTATCGTTTTTTAATTAAAATATCCAGTCTTTAAACTTCCTCGATCATGGTAACCGTGTGCGAGCGCTTTTTCATTGTTCGCGAGATGTTGCTATCAGATAGTAGTTATTGTTTCAAAACGGGAAACAGCTAACGTTCACTCAATTTGATATAATTGAGTGAATGAGAAACGTTTTCAATTATAACATCTCACGAGGCGGCTAATTCGACGAGTTACTCTCCCACCTTATTTGTATTTTTTTTTAATGCGAAAGCTCTCATTGTAAGTTAAGTGCTGTTATTGTTTATAGTTGTTTCCGAAGCGAAGGGGAATTATCCTATACATATTATAACTCATAGAAATATTAGGAAACCATTTTAAACAGTGTTTTATTTCACCATTTTAATATCAATTAATAATATCTTTACAATTGTCTGATGACTAAACAATATTAAAATTAAAAATAGAATAAGAAAGATTTTTTGTCACAATCTGATACCGCTATGTATATTAACCTCATTAGGCTAATAAAATTACGAGAGCTATAACAATCGGGAATACTACAGAAAATCGTCTTTCAATTATAGCTTTCTCAAAAGCCCTCGCGCCCGAGCTTAATGACGCGGAAAGTTCTACTATGAAAAACTAACGAAGTTCCCTCGCTTTGTTAAAAAGAGATGGTAACATTTCACGCGAAGCAATCGCAGTGTGTTGCAAAAACATGAACTAGGAGCACCTCGCGAGCGTTCCTGCTTAACTATTCATGAGAAAATTAACGGCAAATATCCCACACTTCACGCTATGAGCATACGCCAATGTAACGACATATCGAAGTTACAACTTTGTTGATTTCTAAATAGGACGCTCATTAAAACTACAAAGTACAACGTACTTATAAAATAAGAGTCTTTAATAGTTTTATTTATCCATGAAAATATAGAAATCGAATAATTATCGATGGATTAAATATATTGACATCGGCGGTCGCTTTCCACGCAGAAGCCTAAAGTTCTATTAATAAAACGATTTCACTGCGCTGTAACTTGAGCGGGCTATCGGCTGAACGGACTCTGCGGTCAGCATGACACACTACACTAAGAAATTGCGCGTGCGCACAACCTATAAAACTCACGGCGCACCGCAACCGCACCGAGGGTAGCCAGAGCCGTCGCATCACTTTTTAGCTGCCTTTTTAGGCACGTAATCGTTGGCTTGTGTAATAACTTAGGCTATTATCTGACCAAATGGCGACGGAGAATTCAAATGTCAATGAAATGGCAAACGTGTTTTTATTCTGTCCCTCGTTAGAATTTAACGGATCATTTAACGTTCGTTGATGCAGTTGCGGTGAAATTCTATTTTTTTATATTAAATTGATTATGACCATAGACAAATCGGATTGGTATTAAAATTGTTTCAAACTTCAGTATTAAGATATATGTATGCTACATGGACAGTGCAAAGTTACCATGCCGCTTTTTACGTGCATAGGGCACAACCCTAAAAATTTTATAGCAAAAATAAAAATGTAACGCTATTTTAATTTGTAGAGAGATTGAGTGTGTTGATCTCTTTGAGTTGCGTCACATTATCTCTCATACACACATTGGTTACAACAATTAAAACATTTCTTAAAAAGGAAGCTTACATATCTTACTAACAACAAATGTGAAAGTTTAGATTGATCGATGTTTGTTACAGTTTGTAGACTAAACGGCTGAACGGATCTCGAAATTTGGCATAGAGCATAGTCTGGAAGAACACATATGTAGGTAACTTCCTTTTTGACCGACTTCCCAAAAGAAGGAAGTACTCAATTCGTCTGTATGTTTTTTTTTGTGTGTTATTTTATTCAATTCCAC